AGCCCCGGCGGCCTGCGCGCGCCACCGTCGCCTGCGCTCCCGCCAGGAGGAGCTGGCTGCCGTGGAGAACCCTCCGCGCAGCAACGGAGGCCGGGACCGTAGGCGGTGAGTGCGGCTCGCGGCGCTTCTGAGGCTCCCGGCTGGGTGGGCTTGGGTCTAGGGTCTCGGGTGGCGACCCCGGAGGGGTGTCCGCGATGCCGGGATCGGGAGGCAGGGGCGGGCTTCCAAGCAGCGGGTCTGAACCCCACCACCAAGATCTTTCCCTTCTCTACGCGCTCCCCAGTTTCCACCTCTCCCCATACCCCTCCCCGAGCCGGGGGTCCCCGCCCTCCAACCGACCTGCCTCCCCTTTCACAGCCCCGCGCCCTAGAAGCCTGTCTGCACACCCCCTTTCTCCAGCAAGTCCTCCCACGCCTACCTCCTCCCGGGTGCCTGTCGCCTGCCTCTCCCTTCCAGCTTTGCTCCTGCGGTCCCCGCCGCCACCCCAGCGGGCTCCTTTTCTAACCCCCGTGCCCCCACCGTGCGATTGCAGCGGGAATCTGAGCTCTGGGGTCCCCCTTCTCCCGGCTGTCCTGAAGCTACGGTGTCCAGGTAAAAGGCGACCGCAACTTCACGGCCTGCCCCGGGGGTGGGGCTGCTTCTTCCCCGGCTACCTGCAGCCTGCGGCGCCGGAGCCCTGGGCCCAGCCGAGGGCTACTCCGCGTGTTCAGGTTAAGCTTGCTCAATGCTCTGCTTAGGACTACGTGGTTACTTGGTTGCTTGCTTTTGCTTGGTGAACTTGGATAGGTCGCTGTTTCTAAAAGAAGCCGGCCTTTGTCACACACAAATATGGAGCAGGTTTTCTTTGCGGCTGCGGCTGGCTTTCAGTTGTACCTGTGAAAGAGGAAGGATTAGCGATGCAGGGGGGGAAAGGAGCCATATCCCAACTCTCCCCCGCCTGGGCTCTGGGAAGCACAGGGGACTGTGACTGTCCTCTGCTGGGTGGCCCCTGTCTTGTGGAAAGGCAAGGATACTTTCAAAACATTCAACAGGTAAAAACCAGTTGAGAATTTGGAATCAGATCTGGTGTGGATAGGGAAGTGTGGGGTGAATGACCAAGAACGTCCACCCTGGAAGAGTTCCACCACTTATGGACAGTTGTTGCTCTTTGCAGCCGGCCGGGCAGTGGACCCCAGCTATGGAGTGGACAGTGCTGAGCCCAGCCTACCCTCTGGAACTGTCGGTCGGGCTTGGCGGCAGCCCCCTCCTCAGAGGTGTTGGTGCCCTGTCGGGACATTTGTGGGAAGAAGATTTAAAGCAGATGGCTTGGAAAGCCTCCCGGTCCCTGGAGAGAGGCGGAGATGGCATGATGACAGCCTGAAAGCCAGTGTGTACATTCACCCCTCCCTTCTGGGGTCTTTCATTAAATCTTAGATTAAATTAATTGTCTGTTCAGGGAAAGAACGTGTGAAGGGTAGTTCTCTTTTAGGATTGGCTCTTGGCCAGCCCCACCGTCACAGATACCTTGGGAGGCTGCAAATGAGTACCGGTGACAGAGTGGACCACCTGGAGCACAGCACTCTGAACTGTCCAACTGCCCTATTGTACCCCTGGTTTTTTATTTGGTGGCTCCATTATTAATTCAATATTCCTTTGCCATTGAATAGCCAAAGACACAGTGGGGCTCAGTAGGCCCCTTCCGGATGGTCACAACTTCTCCTTGTCCTCACAGTGATAGGTCGTTGTCAGGAGTTCATCTGGCCAGGAACACCTGCAGGATTGGGGTGGACATATCCTTGTGACCTTAGGACCTGGCCAGGTGCCCCCTGCCTGGCACTCAGTGTTTGTTTGTTTGTTTTTAAAGTCGGGTGCATGCCTTTGTTTAAGCCCAGCATTCAGGAGACAGAGGCAGGTGGATCTCTGTGAGTTCAAGGCTAGCCTGGTCTAGAGAGTAAGTTCCAGGACAGGCAGGGCTACACAGAGAAACCCTGTCTTGAAAAGTCAAGGGAAAAAAAATCCTCTTCTTGCATCAGTCTTGAGTCCACAGCCCTTGCTCTCCACTGTGCTGCCGTTTTCAAAACTCTCTCAACAGATCTGAATATGTATGTATATAAATGTTCAAGTCTTTCTTGCCGTAGGCAGGTTCACTGGGTGTTGGTGGGACAGGGGACGTGAAGGGGCGGAGAAGGGAGAGAAAGTCCATTTTCTAAGTCAGGCTCTGACAGCTGGTCCTGCCCCTCAGTGAAGACACCAGACTTGTAAGGAAGGAAATATCTTCCTCCCAGAGGTGGGAGTGGGAGGGGAATGGGCACTCTGGAATGCCACCAAGGCTTATCCTGCAGGCCCTGGGCTGTGGCCTTGGCTTCTTCATATTATTATTTGTTTGTTGATTTATTCTGCCCGACCTGGAACTCGATGTAGACTAGGCTGGCCTCTAACTCACGCAGATCCACCTACCTCTCTGCCCCAAGTGCTGGGATTAAAGACCTGCACCATCATGTCTGGTGGCCCTGGCTTCTTGGACATCCCCCACCCCTGCCTGCTGATGGAGGAAGCTGCTGGGGAGATAGGGTCCCTTGCAGATCCCCACCTGCCGCTTCAGGTTGTGATGTTCTCGCTCTGGTGGGTTCTGTTCACTCCAGAACTGGTTCCTGTGGCAGCCTAGGAGTGGTCCTTGGTGCACATTTCTGGCAGTGTGTTTTATGGTTTGCTCTGAGGGAGCGACTCCAGTGTTGGGGGCTGAGCTTTGGTCTGTCAAGGGTGGCTTTGCCCTAGGCAGAGAACACAAAGTTCAGCTCTTGTGTTCTTGTGAAAGGCCGATTTGAGGGAGAGCGCACCTAGGGGCTGGACTGCAAGGCCTCTGTCCTCTTTGCTTGGGAAGCTGGGAACAGCTAGAATTCAGAGTACTACCTGGTTGTCGTTAGCTTATCTTTCTCACCCAGACTGCCTCTGTCTTCAGGTTTGGCTCTTACCCAGAATTCCTGCAGCTGGTAAAAAATCTGTTTTCTAGAAGGAGTTTAATTAATGCCTGCAGTTTCGTGAGTGAGAATGGGAAAGGGAGAGAGAGAGAGAGAGAGAGAGAGAGAGAGAGAGAGAGAGAGAGAGATGCTGCTATGTGGAGGGGCAGGAGAGATGATGGGACAGTAGCAGAGTCCTGACAATCCAGTAAAGGGGTTTCAGCTCCAAGCCCTGTCCCAGACAGCACTCTGGTTGGTACGTAAGAAATGTGCCCACATTCTGGTGTAGGGGTTACCACTATAAGCAAAGTCACTGAGATTAAAAAAAAAAAAAAAAAATGAGCCATTGATCTAAAGAAAGGTGTGCTGGGCTCACTGTTCTGGTTCTTAGAAGGCCTGGGAAGCCATCTAAGAAATGGACATGGCCAGATGGGAACACAGTTGGCTGTGGTAAGCTTTTGTGTCAGGAGTGTGCCCCTGGGGATGTGGTCCACTGAGCGAGGTTGGTCTGCGGTCTGGCCTGGGGGAGCCACCTCACTCCAGAGACGCTGTGGGAATTGTCTAGAAGAGCAGCTGTGCTCCTGCCTTCAGTGATCAAAGGAGAGAATAGCCTTCTAGCAGGAGGGAGGTGGCCTCCCAGGCATCCATCTTGGACCTGCCAGGCAGCCTTGGACCTGATTGGTACACAGGGTCCAGGGGTGCCAGTCAGCCTGGAAGGAGGCCCCTGTGAGCCAAGGATGTGCCACAGGGCCTGCTCGGGGTCCAGAAGACAAGAGAGCCCCCCTCAGCAAACCAGATTCTAGTCTGTGTTTCTTTATCCTTAGAGCCCGAGGCTTCTTTAACCCATCTCAGATGGGGAAGCCTCTGACTTTGGCAAAAGTCTAGTCTCTTATGAAGGGAGGGACAAACCCAGAAGTAGGGAAGAATTTAACATTAGAAACCACGCACGCACGCACGCACGCACGCACGCACGCACGCACACCCTTGAATGATCCTAGTGGAGTAGTTCCTGTAACAAAGAGGCAGCCTCCATTGCTTCCTTTCGGGTAGGACACCCCTCCACACAAGCATTCCATCCATGGGTGAATCCTCATCCCTTTCCCCATTGGACGCTGGTGGCCCCCATACAGTGTCGGGAGCTCTGAGTTGGAGGAGCGTTTGGGGGAACTCAGATATCTAATAACAGGTGGGGACTGGGGGTACCCCTAAAGTAGAACACAATCTTCAGTTCCTGGGGCGAATTCCCTGCTTCTGGAGTTTTAGGACTTGGAATATTCTCCGGCCCTTTCTTCGGCACCCTCCAGATGGTAGGGAACCATAGAAACTTAGAAATTCATTTAGTACTTGCAGTCACCTCCCCAACATACACGTTCACGTTTCTGTTTGCAAGGCATCTTTTTGTCATCTCCTTGTCACCCTCTGTCATGATGTGTGACCAACTTCCTTAGGGAGAGCTGTGGCCAATAGCGTGGAAACCAGGCCTTGAAAGCGCAGACTAAGAGCAGGATCCCTGTGCTTGGTTTTGACCTCCCCGCCCCTCTTCACCTTTGCTTGTGGGGAAAGGCATCATTTATATCCCATTTACACAGAGTGTGAATGCCCTTTATCCTCTACCCCCTTTGATTTCTAGGGACCCGTCTCTCCAAAGAACGAACGGCAGCTTGCTTCCCTAAGCTGACCTCATTCTTGGGTCCAACATCTTTAGAGATACAATGTTACTATCTTGAGCATTTGAACTATAAAATAAAATGAATATCTTGCTAATTTTATTATTTGCAAACACAGAAGAGTCTGAAGATAGAATGAAAATACTGCTTCTAAAACCAGAGTTGAGTCTCACTAAAATCATTGAAGTTGTAGCAGAATTGTTTTAAAGCTTAGAAGTAAACGAGTATGCTTTAAATGTTACTACTCAAGTATAGGGAGATATGAATTTGAACTGCCGTAAAAATATAGACCAAAAAAATTAGATATTTGGGCAAGTACAGAAGTTTTTAGTACCATACAAAAATAGGCCTCTATTTGTATGTCCACAATCTCATTAGGTCCCCAGAAAGTCTGATATGTGTTGAAATGGGGTGTGGTGGTTAGTTTTGACTGTCAAGTTGACAGGATCTAGAAGCCTAAGAGACAGGCGTCTGGGCATCCCGGTGTGGGATTATTAGATGATCTTAGTTGACCTGGGAAGACCCACTTCATGTGCAGTGCGGTTGTATGGGTTGGGGTCCTGGACTGAACCAAAGAGGACAGTAAGCTGATCACTAACGTTCACAGCTCTCTGCTTCTGACACCACGATGGACTGCATCTCCTGGACCAGTGAGCCCACATGCACCCTCGTCCCCTAAACTGCTTCTGATCAAGCATTTGGTCAGAGCAAGGGGGGTGATGAATATAGGAGGAACGGGACTTCAGGCTGGTTAAAAGGCTTCCTCCCCTTAGAATGAGTGTGGTGGCACGCGCGCACACACACACACACACACACACACACACAAACACACACAATTAAAGTCTTCCCTTAGAATTCAGCTCTCTTCAGCGGAGAATACTTCATTGATTTGACTAATCTTGCTATAGTCGCTGGAGAACCAGCTGTGATTACACAGCCATTTGGAGATTGCAGGCGGCCGCTTGCATCAGGTGTAAGTGGGCTTTGGCTTTCCTCAGGCCATTCTGCAAGACAAACAGAACAGCCTATGTACTGTTTAACTTCCTGGAAAAACTCCCCTCATTTGTGGCTGTCAGATTCTCGGTGGGTGGCTTCCTTCTCCTTGAGGACCTGGGTCTGGGTGTGGAATTCAGCGCAGTGTAGTGGGTAAGAATGGAGGCTCCAAGCCCAGAGCGGCTTTGAACCCTGGGTGTGCCCTCATTAGCCTTGGATCCTTGGGTAAGCTATTTAACTTCTGTGCCTCAGTTTCCCTGTTCATAAAACTGAGGTGATGAGAATGCCTACTTTGTTGTATTATGGAGCTTTGATAATATATAGGCCAAGGGTCCAGTACATGGTACTTAACAAGTATTAACTGCTGTTGCTGTTCATTCACTGTTTTAGGTGGCGGCTGACTATGTTTAGATGATGGCTATAGAAATAGCCTTTACAATATTTAAGTGGGTGCTGGGGATTGAACTCGGGGCCTCATGCATGCTAGGTAAGCATTCTTCCACTGAGCTATACCCCTTGCCCAAGAGGATAGATATAGGATAATGGACAAAATAGGTATGTCTTAATGGAACAAAGGGTTCTAAGGTTGTGTTCACAGTGAAGAACTAGTATGGCAGTGAAGACCATCTCAGGTCTTACCTGGCTCATGACCACCTGTCGTGGCTATGAGCAGCTGAGTGATTAGGATGGAAAAAAGGGAGAGGCTGGTGATCTGCAGCTGGCATACGCTGGTGTCATGTGATGACCTTGCCAGCTGTTTAAATAAACTAAAAACTCATTTTGATTGCCCTGTGTCTGACGCAAGCTCGGGGTTAATATGTTAACTCGTTCTTGGATGCATGTCGTTAGTGAGAATTGGGACAAGAGACCTTTAAGCCCAGTATTTGCTCACTTACTAGTATTCCCAGCATTATTCTTGCTCCCAGTTGACAGACTGCTATCCCTACTCCTGTTCCAGATGGGCTCTTCAGCTGCCCTAGAAGCCTCCAAACCAATGGAGACCCACTTCTCACTCAGAGTGAGTCGCTGCTCTGGAAACAGGCAGCGGACTAGCCAGAGGCAGGGAGTCAGACCGCCGGGTCTCTTACATCTGCCATAGCCACGCCTACTTAACCTGACAGACTGTTGATAGGCTTGGGCTTAGGAACTGCTCCATCCTGCTCAGGCTGCAGCTGGCCTGACTACTCCGGGCCTTGCCAGAGCTGATACGGGACCTACGGGCATGGGCCGTGCACTGGGAAACCGCTGTTGACTCTTCAGGAATCTCTGCTTCCTAGATGGCTCTGAGTGTGGTTAGCGCACCTTCTATGCTGCGAAACTGGTAACCGTATCTCTTTCTGAGCAGCCTGTTTGTTTCTGTTCTTTTTTAAACTGCTTAAATTTGGGAGGAATGAGGTTTTGTCTTTAAAAAAAAAAAAAAAAAAGACCTTGCCTCATACTTGGACAACAGACATGGCAAATGATTTCATTCATGCCCAGAGAATTGAGTTAAAAGGGAGCACCTTCTCTGGCCTGGAGCCCTGACTTCTCTGGTTTTCCTCTTGGCCTCCCAGCCGGGCTCTCTTTTGCCGCCATTCTGTCTCTAGACCAGTTCTTAATGGAAACTCAGACCTGAAAAAAAATCAAAGCTTGGACATTAATGATCCAAGGTCACGGCCTAGATGGTTCATTTTTTTGGCTTTGTCGTCAAGCTGAAAAATGACTGACTTCTAGAGAAAGTATATTTTAGAAGCTGACTAATGCAGTAGGCAGGAGCCCGGCCCCCCCCCCCGGCCCCCCCACTGTCTCCGGCGTTTCTGAGTTCACGGCATTTGCGTTTTGATTTTCTCCTCTTGTGCATTCTTGATCTAATGACTGATGATTATCCTGGAGCAGCTGCATTAATTGATGGTATTTAACGACTGCTTACAGTGGGTAATTGCAGTCGGCTCAGCTAAGGATGGCGCATTCTTTTTACTCGGCTCTCAGCTTGGGAAGCCCTAACATTGGGGGCAGGGTGCCAGGAAGAAGTTGAGAACTTCTCCCCTTGGTCCCAGTCCACTGCCCCGTGCTCACACCCCCCCAACCCCCAGGACATTGTGTGTGCTCTCAGCCTCTGTCCCTCATGTACGCACATTGACTGCCCAGGGGCTGTCTCCCCAAGGTGTCCCGGGAGTGGAGAGCGGAGGCTGCGCCCAGCCCATCTCCGAGGCTTTCACTCTCCACAGGCTGTCAGGAAAGAGGGCTCAATACAAACGGAGGGACTAGGTGGTGAGTGGTGGGAAGCATGCTTTGATGAGTGTCCTTGACTGCGAGTAGTTCGGAATCCTGCCTCAGTGGTCTACAAAATCACGCCTGAAGGTAGGAGGCTGCTGTTTGCAGTGGCTGCTGGGATGCCTCTGGTCTCATGCCCCGCCCCATTCCTCAGTTTATTGCAGGCTACGGGACCGGCTCATCTGCAGCGTCTTTCCTCTCTTCTTCCTTTCTTCTTGCACATCTCCTGAGCACTGTTGCTCACTCAGATCCAAGCCCCTCAGCCTCGGGGGATGGCTGGCAAGGAACCTGATGTGGGCCTGAGTGTTGACGGGTACTGTGGAAGGGTAAGGCCCTGGGTGCTGAGGTTGGCTCAGCACAGGGCAAATCGCCCATCCTTGGGAACATTGTCTGCTTCAGAAAGGAGGAGGGACCAGCCACATTTGATAACTTATCAGGAAAGCAGACATTTTCCCGAGGGCCTGAACAGGCTTCCCTGACACTTGATGGTCAGGAATTGATCGCATGGTTGCTCCCAGTTAAAGGGGTCAGGGGCCGTGTGGATATTTAGCAGTGTACACTAAAGAAAGTTCATGTTAACACAAATCAGATAACTTTCATGGCTCCATTGTGATAGGAATATACTTTTTCTTCTGGTTTTTTGAGACAGGGTTTCTCTGTGTAGCCCTGCCTAACCTGCAACTCACTCTGTAGACCAGGCTGGCCTTGAACTCACAGAGATCCTTCTGCCCCTGCCTCCTGAGTGCTGGAACTAGGGCGTGTACCATCACTGCCTGGCTTAGGAATATACTTTTTGTACACAAGTTCAACACTGGCTGTTCGTGATGGTGAGGTGACTCTCCTCAAGGAGGAGACTTAGGGCCCCATGTTCTCTAGGCAGCCACACTCATTTGTACCTACCAGCAGTAGAGGTAGGAACATTGCAGTGTTTTATGGGCCAAGGTCAGGGTGAACTACTGCCTCTAGCATTCCATTGGCCAGGGTTCAGCCCCAGAACTTGCACGCTTTCTGCAAGGAAAGCTGGTAAGTGTTGTCTGCTGCATACCCAGGAGGAGGGGGAAATGGTTTATGATTAGTGATACTGCCTCCTCCAAAGTCGGGGCTCTGTTATCAAGGAAGAAGGAATGACTATTGAGGGGCTGTTCGGGGTCCTTCCCATGGAAGGGAAGGTGCCAGGGAGGCTCCAGCTGGAAGTGAGGTCTGCCTTAGGAGATGTCTGTTTAAATCACTGCTTCTTTGCCTCCATTAGGAATTACCAGATGACCTGAGTACGTGGAAGGTCCTTGTCCCCCCTGTTCCTCGGCCCATGCCATGTCCTCAGCCTGGTGGGATAGCTCCTGGTTAATTCATCTCAGTAGTTGGAGGTTACCCCAGGGGAAATGACCTCCAGTTCCCCAAGACCAGAGGAGCCTGGGAATGCTCCTTGCTCTTGGGCTCACCCAGCACTCCAAGGCTTACTCCTTCTAAAGCCCACCTGTAACCCACACCTGGACACAGCGAAGAGTGGCCTTCACTTTCCACTCTTAATTATTGAGAAATGTCTCCCCACTATTTGCTGCTCGTGTTTGTCAGGAAACGAAACTTTGGTGAGAAGTCACTGATGTATTGGCTTTTGGTGATTTCTCCATTTGTGGTGAGTTACTGTGTGTGACAGGTGTTTTTCCAGCCACAGTGCTCTTCCTAGTGCCCTAAGCACGTGCTAAGTACTGCACGTGCTAAGTACTGCAGCTTACTCAGCTCTGAGAACCCCTCCCATCCCCCCCCCACCTCCCGACCCTGGAAGAGGCCAGGGAGGAATCTGACAGGAGCCCTTAACGTTGATGGGCACCGTGGGAGGGTTGGCTCTGGGCACTGAGGTTACCCAGTATTGAAGCCATCTGAGGAAGGGGACATCCGCGCTGAGTTTAAGGATGGACAGGAATAAACGGAGTCAAGGAGATGTCATGGCCAAGACAGTGACATGGGCCCAGACACTCCAGTTACACAAAGGGCTGCTTGAGGTTCTTGTAGCCCAGTGTGCCAAAGTGGGGGTGGGGCAGCGGGGCCATCAGCGCCGGAGGTGGCGGGAGGCAGTGCAGAAGACAGGTGAGGGCCAGCCCGGGTAGCACGCAGGGCCTGGCTGTGACGTGGTCCGAGTTGGAGCAGGGCTGGGCTGCCGTTGGAATTCTGCTCTGGAGGGTTTGCTGTTGGAGGCAGAGGAGGATGCGGGCTCTGTCGCTTTGTGCTGTCACCTCTCATGCCCTGTCCCTGTCCTCGGTTCCCGGCTGGTCCTTTGCCCAGGCATTACTCAGGTTGTAAAAATAGGGTCTGGCACCAGAGCGCCGGCGAGAAGTGGGTGAGGAAAACTGGGGCTGTCATCGCCTCTCAGGACGCTTAACCTGTGAGGGTTTTGATGCAGGGCTTTCCTAGAGCCCTGGGGATGAGGTTCTAACGGCGACACTTTCTTCTCTTGGATTCCTACCAGTTCTCTGTGCCATTTTACTCAGATGCGATCTGGTTGTGGTTAATAGGTACCCCAACCTCAGGCTCATAACCGCACACTACCTCCAAAACCCGCCAGATGGGCCTCACCTTCTTGTCACATGCTGGCTCGGTCTGAGAAGTCAAGTCTTCTCCCCGGGGCCATTAGATGCCACCCGGCATTCTTGCAGGTGCCTCCACCACCCACATGTGAGTCTGCCCGGCAGGTGTGCGGTCAGCTCAGCCTGGGGAGGTTGGGCCCTCAGCGATACGGCCCGCATAGCTTCGCACTGCTTCTCCTTAGGGGACTGAGGGCTGATCTGAAAGCTGTCAGCTGCCCTCATGGTGATGGATGGCCCCAAGGGCCGTTTCCTTCACTCTCCCTCCCAGCCCTGTTTATTGCCGCGGATTTGATGGGGGTGGGGCAGGAGCGCAGCGGTCACGCGGCTGAATGAACAGCTCTTTCCCCCTTGCCCCAAGGGAGGTCGGTGTGACTCCGCAGATGGAGCCTCTGGCCTGTGGTTCAGAGTTGTGATAACGAGGAAGAGGTAGTCACTGTCCTCGGGGCTCTGTGGGGTGCGTTGTGGCTAGCGACTCCTGCCTGCACCAGCCCCAGGCACGGAATGCCCATTCTAGAGCGCTAGAGCTCCTCCAAGGCAGGGATTTGAGCTGATTTGGCCCACTAATCTCCATTTCTGCACCTTTAATCGGCAGGGCGCAACTGCTCAGGAGGTGGGTGTTGTGTGACCGAGTGAGACTCCCCCGCTGTGGGGAGAGCCCGCTGCAGCACAGAAAGATGCAGTTGGGATGCGGACGAGTGAAAGCCTGGAGCTGTGGCTTGGTGACTGATGTCCCCCCCACCCCCCATCCCTGTGTCTTGGACCACTTGGAAGACAGAGGGCCCAGAAGACGGGAGAAGTCCTTCTAGCAGTTCAGTTCCCCTCAGCAGCCTCAGTGTGGCTTTCCTATGGCTTCCCTCCCGTCCTGTGACCCGTGCTCTCAGAAGTGCTCGGCGGCTCTCCTGCTCCTGTGGGAGTCTTGTCTGGGCCCATCTGTCCTCTTCTCCGTTCCCTGATGAGCCACACTGCTTAAAGCTGGTCATCAGCAGCGAAGGGGTCAGCGTCAGACCTGCCCACTGTGCCCGTCAGTGCCGGTGGAGGCCCCTGAACTGCCCCGCAGTTGACCTTCACACAGTGCCCGCCCCAGCATCCCCAGGCCCCCATGCTCTCCATTCCCTGCTCCCCCTCGGCCCCTGGAGCCCATACAACTCCCGACTCTCCACCTCTGCGCCTTTGCAGCTCACAGTGTCCCCACTCTGTTGCCCACTGTCCCCCCCATAGGTCACAGTGTCCCCCCATAGGTCACAGTGTCCCCCCGTAGGTCACAGTGTCCTCCCATAGGTCACAGTGTTCCCCAGTAGGTCACAGTGTCCTTGTTCCCCCCTCAATAGGTCACAGTGTCCCCCCCATAGGTCACAGTGTCCCCCCATAGGTCACAGTGTTCCCCAGTAGGTCACAGTGTCCCCCCATAGGTCACAGTGTCCCCCAGTAGGTCACAGCATCCCCCCCATAGGTCACAGTATTCCCCCTATAGGTCACAGCGTCCCCCTGTAGGTCACAGCGTCCCGTCCCCCCATAGGTCACAGTGTCCCCCCTCCCCACTCTGGGCCTCTGTAGCCCACAGTGCCCTCCCCCCAGGCTGCTGTGGTCTTAGTCTGTACAGTACATTTTGCATTTCACCTGGCGCTCCTGGGACCCCAGCTTCTGTCAGTGTTGGGGTACTCAGTGTAAGCCACAGCAGCTCTGCTGTTGTCTGAAGCACACTTAGGTCCCCGCTTCCTCACTGTCTGCAGACCGCTGGTCTTCTGCAATTTATGATGTACCTGCCTTTGAGATCTTGCTTAACTGCGTTGTTTAAAAAATGAGGCAAATAATTAAAGTAAATTTATAGCAATCCCCCCTTAAGTTTATCTTTTTTTAAACATAAATTCAAGTATTTGGATTTTTTGTTTGTTTGTTTTTTGTTTTGTTTTTCGAGACAGGGTTTCTCTGTGCAGCTTTGTGCTGCCCGGCAGAGATTTTTTTTTTTTAATTTTATTTTTTGCCAAATGTCATTTATTGAAGTAGAGAGGAAGTTTGTTTTTTTGGTTTTTTTTTTTTTTTGTTTTTTTTTTTTTTTTTTTTTTTTTTTTTTTTTTTTTTCGAGACAGGGTTAAATACATGCTTACAGCACAATGGGTTCGCTAAGATGTTTTACAATCTTGCATCTAAACTGTTAATGCCCATTATGCAGGATACACAGACAAGGACTTTCCCTTAAGCATTCAGGAGGGTGGAACCCGGCAGGGAATTAGCATCGGGAGGATATCAAGGTCAAGGTCAGCAAGCAAGGCAACAGTTAACCAAAAAAAAAAAAAAAAAGCAATACATGTTTATTGTTATTTTATTACTATTATTTTGATTGGAAGCTAGGCATGGGAACGAATGCCTGTAAATCCCAGCACTTGGGGGAGGGGGGGGCTAAGGCAGGTGGATTACAAATTTGAAAAGCAATGAGAGAGAGGAAGAGAGAAACTGGAACAGGTAAGAGGAGAATGTTTTCTAGGATGGCTGCTTCTTCAGGAGTCTGGGAAGCCAGGCTGCCATTTGCAATGTGTTGTTAAAGAAAACTGAAATTACCTGTAGTCGTAGACACGCCCACTCGTAACATTTAGGACATCTCTTTTCTCTTTCTGGGGGTTTTTATTTTTCAAATTGTTACGTTTACAGTAGTGTTGGAAAAGAACAGTGGCAGTGTGGCTCAAAGGGACAAAAAGCAGAAGTTGGTGCACAAATCCTAAAAGGTCTTATAGTAAAAACCCGGAGCCAGATATCGGGGTAAATGCTGAAAAGTCAGAGGAAATAAGCCACAGCCACTTCTCACCTCGCCAGCTCCTCAGCCGATCCTGTCTCCACCAATCCTCAGGCTGAATGCCTCTGAGTCCTCAGCCGAAAGGGGCTCCACCAGTTCCTGTCTCCTCAGGCCTTATGTGCCTTTCTCCGCCCAGCCATTCCACTTTCTATCTCAACCTTCCTAGTGCTGGGATTAATGGCGTGTGTGCTTCCCAAATACTGGGGTTAAAGGAGTGTGCCACCACTGCCTGGCTCTGTTTCTCTCCTAGACTGGATCAATCTCATATAGCCCAGTGTGGCCTTGAATTCACAGAGATCCATCTGGATCTCCCTAGCCCAGGCTAGGGTTAAAGGTGTGTGCCACTACTGCCTGGCTCTGTTTCTCTTTTAAACTGGATTACTCTTGTGTAGTCCAGGGTGGCTTTGAACTCACTAGTGCTAGGGTTAAAGGTGTGTGCCACCACTACCTGACCTCTGTGTTTAACTGTCCTCTGATCTTCAGGCAAGCTTTATTTCTTAGATACAAATACCACCACAAAAAGTAACTCAACAAAAGGGGTGTGAGAGGACCCAAACCCTGCTAGTAGCGTGGCCAAGAGCCTCTCTGTTGGCTTTGTCCCTAACACAGGTGGTAACTGTGTCCCAACTCACGGGTGAGAGTTCACCGTCACAACCTGACATGATTGGCTAATAAGCGGGAAGCTGGAAGTTAAAAAAATAAGGGCCCTGGTCAGGCTAACCACTTTTAATAGGAAAAAAGAAACACACACACACACACACACACACACACACACACACAACTTTTCATAATTCCCTCTTTATTTTACACACACACACACACACACACTCACTCACACACTCACACACTTTTTTTCCTTCAGTCTTAGCCAGCACGTGCTGACTTTGTGACTGGTAACCATGAATTACTGTTGGGATGAGGGAGGGCTGAAGTGTGCCCTGAGTTCTGCCTGCCTAGGGGTGCTCCTTTGACTGAGCGGCTGACCTGTCCAACTAGAATGTTAGGTTTTCACCCTGGCCACATAGTCTACTCTCGTCACCAGGAGTCCCCTCTCAGCTGGCCTCTCTGCTGTCTTCCAGCCTCTGCTCTGAAGAGTGAGTGACCCTGGCATTGCTAAGGAGGCAGGTCAGAGACCAGGGCTCACAAAACGCTTTTGGCATCTCTGACCTATGACAAGGAGGAAGCTGCCGAGAGACCTAGGAATAGTTTTGACTTTTAGGCACCAGAGAAAATAGTTAGGTTTCTTTGGAATCTGTACCCTGAACCGTCTAAACCCCTCCTTCCCCAAAGGTAACCCTAAGTGCCACTAAGGAAATGAAGTGATTGTAATAGTTTAATGAGGGAAGGCAACCTCGGCAGGTTGGAGTCAAGGGGTACCACAAAGTCACACCATGCAGCAGGCTCACGTGGGAGGTTTATTGGGGGAGGTGCGGCTTGAGAAGGGCTTGCCTTTAGAAGGGGATATAGCGCATGCGCATAGGGCGAGTGCTCTACTTAGTGGCCGTAGTAGCCACAGTGTCCCATCTTGGCGGCAGCTGCTGATGTGTCTGGCCTGCTAGGACCCTGAGAGCAGGCCAGTGCGGATGCCTGAATGCTAACAGTGACGATGGATCTGGATCTGTCTTCTTCCAGGTGAATGGCGGTATCGGGCATGGCAGTCAAAATACCCTTCTGTGGCCTATTCAAAGCCCCAAAGTGCATTGGTGGTTTCATTTGTCTCACAGCCAGGTGTAGGTAGGAAGGGCAGGCCTTGCCTGGGGTCTGGAAGGAGATGTGAAGGAGAAGTGAAGCCAAGGGTTATTAGCATTTCAGGTTGGGGGGAGACGGGGGGAGACGGGAGGGGGGTGTGGACGGGGGAGCGGGACGACAACACACCAGGAGAAGCCCCAACACAGGATAATTTTTGAAGTCCAAAGTCTCTGCGGGCTTACAGGGGCCCCCATCTCCTGCACGGTTCCTCTCCATTGACCTCCCCGTGGCCCCCATGACTGGTCTCCAGAGTGATGGCCCCAGGACCTGCTCTCAGGCCCTTTGGTTGCTGTTGGAGTGGCTGGGATCAGCCTGAGTTCCCTCCCAGATGGACTGTAGGTAGGGAGAGGAAAAGAATAATAATCATAGCTCTCATTTACTCTAAAAAGGTTAAAACAAGAGCCGGCCTGTCTCGCCTGGCTGTCGGCAGCTGCTGCAGGGAGCCAGGGTCTGAAGCCACATCTGGGCAGCATTTTTCTTATCAAGAAGGAGATCATGAGAAATAGTTGTCAAAGCAACATCCCGTATGGAACCAGTCTAACATTTGAGGGATGTGAGCCCTGCAGTGTGCAGGAAACACACCAGCCATTGCATTCCTTCGGTACGCTTTCCTGCCGGGTGGTTATGACCACACAGGTGGCCAGAATTAATCACTTTTTTTTTTTAACTGTTAAGGCCAGTTTAGGATCTGGTCCTCAGGACTCGGGCTTCAGGGGAGCCTCCGGCTCCTCCGGCTTTTCTTTTACCGGTTGTTCCATCTATGTGAAGATGAGTTAAAGGCCTTCCTTGACCACAGCTTCACTTGAAGGCACAGAGGGAATTTTTCTGCTCTGTTGACCCTCTTCTTTGTAGACTGGACATGGTTAGAGTACACCAGGTAGGTCCTTGATGACCTTCTTGAACAAGAGAACAGTTGACTACCCACAGCATACAGGACATTTTAGAGATGGCCCACAGTCCCCTGGGACATGGCTGTCCTTGGAGAACAAGGGGGAAAATATTCTCCCCTTTCAATCCCTCCAACCACAGCAGTATAGGCCTCCAGTAAGGTATCTTAGTGTTCTGTTGCTGTGAAGAGACACCAGACCATGGAAACTCTTATAAAGGAAAGCATTTAATTGGCGCTGGCTTACAGTTTCAGAGGTTTAGTCCATTATCATCATGGCGGGAAGCATGGTGGCATGCAGGCAGACAAGGTGCTGGAGAAGGAGCTGAGAGCTCTCCATCCAGATCCAAAAGCAGCAGGAAGAGAGAGACACACACTGCCTGGCTTGAGCTTTTGAAACCTCAGAGCCCACCCCCAGTGACACATTTCCTTCAACAAGGCCACACCCAATCCTTCTCAAGTAGTGCCACTCCCTGATGACTAAGCTTTCAAATCTATGAGCTGACGGCGGCCATTCTTACTCAAAGCACCACATAATGGCTACTGCACACCCACAAGGTCAGCTATACCAGCCTGGAACTTTTCACCAAGCCCTCCCCCGCCAGTGATACACTTCCTCCAGCAAGTCTGCACCTCCTAAAGCTCCCTAAACAGCGCCAACAAATGGGACCAGGTGTTCAAGTACCTAGAGGTACAGTTCTTATTCAAACCATCACGTGACCCAAGCAAAAGGCATCCATATGTTTTACCACAAATTGTAACTGCGAATGCCAGGCAGTGCCATCTGGATCCCATTTGACTTCCCCATGGTTCCTGGATACAAGCTGTTGCTTCAGAAGGGAACCCCTGAAAGAAGAGAACTGAATGGAAGATGTGCCCAGTGCCCATAGG